AGGTTGTTTATTTTTTATTAATCTTTATATATTATTTCTCAAATTTTTTTTTTTTTTTTTGTCCTTGAAGAATATCTTTGTCAATTCTTCATCAAAACCAATGATTGAGCCCTCATTTCGAAGATCTTCTCCTTCAAGTAGGAAAAATAGTAACATCCACCCAAAATTTAATGAAAAAAAATTATAGAAACAATATTTACCAATAACTAAAAAACTATAAATTTTTTATGTCTTATATCCATGACTATTTAAAAGATTACTAAATTCTCTATAAACGAAAAATAAAAAATCATTCAAATCGGTTCATTATTAGCAAAGATGCAGGTTATTGTATTTCGTAAACATGTTGGTTAAAAACATGAATGAAGTTTTAATAAAGATTTTTTTAATTTATTTTTTTTTACTTTTTAAACGTATTTATTGAAATTTACAACTGTATTACACACATGAAAAATAGAAGTAAATTTGAAAATGGTAAAATTCCATGTACAACATGAACAGAAACTATCCATTGGTGGAACTCCCTTTAAAGTTCTATATTAGAAGGTCCCGAGGCCATCTTCTATTCAAACGTCTCGGAGGGTTGTCAGGAATAGAAGAAGTAGCAATGCTTAATAAAAGAGTGTTCCGATGGTTCAGAAGTTTACTATGGAAAGATAGGTACATTAAGGTTGTTATGGATGATTTTATTTGTTAAAAAGTAAGGAGTATTAAGGATTTTAAGAAGCATTTCGGATTGTAAGGATTGGGTACGAGAGGAATTTGATGGTTTAGCAGGGCCCCAAAGCTAGATTCCGTAAGTCCAAATAGGCCTTATAATAGAAATATATATGAGTATTTTGGAAGTTTAGAGCGATTGCCTAGGAAGTGCTGGAGTATTCGAAATGGTTGAGCGGTTTCTTATCGTTTCAGTCTTATGAGGATTCCAAGTGAGTCATTTGAAGTTTTAAATTAATTTTCTTTTCCTTGGTCGATTGTAATTACCAAGAAAATAAGAATTGATTTTTTCATCTTAAGATACGTTGCATTATTTAATTACCTTATAATTTTGTCATTAGTGCACTGACCAATATACTGGACGAATTATTCGCATAGGCCAACTATTCATATTTGAACCTTTCAGTTGAAAGAATGACTGACTCCAATTTCAACATTTTTGAATAATGCCATTTTAGTGATATTTCTAGTTGAAAATTTTATAATATCTGTACAGACAGTGAGTAACTTGATCCCAGAGTAGGTGATTGCAGTATTAAAATATAGAATATGAATACAAGTATAAATATTCCCACTAGAAAAATCACTAAAATTAATAATCAAACATGTTGAAATTGGAATTAGTCGTTCTATCAACTGAAAGGCTCATATATTATACTTTTGTTTCTAATTTTTTTTAACTTAAAAATTAATTCATTGGTAATTATTTGTTGAATATTATTCATTAAGTTGAGTTGAGGTCAACTCAATGGGTATGGAGACAATCAACGAAAAATCAAAACAAATAAACAACAAATATCTGAAAGACGTATTCTTAACAGTAATTTTTATCTAATTGTATTTAATTATTGCAATCGTTAGTTAATAGTCAGAATATACCTGGCCTTAAAACATATTCCGATCTGAAACAGTTTGTCAAAACGACTTCATAGAATTTTTAATCTGCCCCATGCCGGAATATATCAATTTTACAGGAGGGCATTATCATGTGAAAGCCTTACTTTCTTGGTTAGGTCTTCCATTATAGGGGAATTGTCGCTAGCTCGCGGACCACTTTGAAGTTATGGGATACGTTAGCCTTCGCATAAAAGCCGTCTTTCTAGCTAATGGTGCAGCCAGCCGTTCATGGCTCACTTCATTGAATTTATCCTCAATGCTTCAAACTACGCACATACTCAATTTAACTCTATTCACGTGTATGCGGTATTTGACCTGATAAATACATCATGCTTATTTAATTTTTTAAGAGTTAGTATTTAGATTACAATCAAATGTCTACCAGTGCTGCCATGTCAGTTATGAATTTTCCTTTAAACCCTAATTCCTAAAATAACATCCAACACTCAATGCTTAATTATTATTTTTTTATTCTTGTGACTATCATTATTTCTCTATAGTAAGATGATGGAAAATTATAAAAAAAAGATTTATTTATTGTTTTTAAAACTGCCCGACGTTTCCAACTACTCCAGCACTTACTAGACAAACGCTCTAAAGTACCAACTATTTACAAAAGACTCATATATATTACTATAATAAGGCTTATTTGGACTTACGATAGCTTTAGGGCTCTACTAAACCATCAAATTCCTCTCGTATCGAATCCCTACAATCCAAAATCCTTCGTAAAATCCTTAATGCTCCCTACTTTGTCACAAATAAAATCATCCATAATGACCTTAATGTACCATATGTTTCCGATTTAGCTCAATCCAGATACCTGTCCTTTCATAATAAACTTCTGAACCATCCGAACCCTCTTGTTTCCAACCTTGCTTCCTCTTCTATTCCTGATAACCCTCCGAGGCGTCTAAAAAGAAGATGGCCTCGGGACCTTCTAATATAGAAATATAATTGGAGTGTGAGAAATATAATGGGTAGTTTCTCCTCATGTTGTACATGTCATATTACTTGTTCATATTTACTTATTGTATTTATTATTAATTACAGTTGTAAATTTCGTTAATAAAAAAAAAATGTTTTTAAGTACATTATATCGCCGGTTTGTTGCAAATTCCAAGCGCGGTTTATTGTCACTAAGCGATATTTCATAACATTTAATAATTTAGTCCTTAAAGAATTTTTCATTACTAAATTAAGAAATTTGCTCTTGTTGTAACTATATTTTTTATATAAAAGGATATTTGCGCTTCGAGTGTTTTTGTATCGATAAATAAACTAGGAATTCACAAAAATACATTTTAAAGTTAAACATATTTTAAACCCACATCAAAAATCCACTTAATGACTTTTACAATAAACGGACGATATATGATACGGATGGTATGGATCTCTTTTCCGGCTCTCAGGAGCGATGGATTTTAATGAAAGAAGTATCAAACGAAAAGGAATTTCACGGAAAAGTGTAGAATCCCAATTTTGAACCTTAAAATCCTAATAAAACATCAATAAAGCCACTGAATAAATTGGATGGTTTCTAAAAATAGATGGCTTCAAAAGTCGACGAATTGAGAGGGAATAAATTGTTTTAAAGATTTCGATACAGACATCAAAACCAACCATAGATCCAACGAAAGTATACTACGTTACAAAACCCAAAAAGTCTCGTTTTCTAGACAAATTGAAATTCTTGGCCAACGCTTCTTAGGTGTTATGGTTGCTATGTGATATCTTTAATTTTTTTCTAGGTCTATATATTTAGCAGCTTATACAAAAAAAGAAAGAAAATAAAAAATACTCCCAAAAAAAAACTCCATAAGATTGTTCACGCTATAGGAAAACCCTAAAAAAAAATAATAATAAATCTGGTTACCCCTGTGTGCATAATGCATCATAGCATTATAGAGCAGAGCAAAAAAAAAATTATGTATTGTATATAAATAATTACAGGCTTTTAGAGATATAATTAAGTGTGTAACCAATTAATTGAGTTAATAGTTGAGATTTGAGAGTTAAATTACTTCACTATTTTCCAGACGATTTCGTATTAAGATTTTTACGGTTAATTTTGTGATCAAATGAGTAGCACTGAGAATTAATCTGCAGATTTTGGGTGTTTGGATTTGGATATTTATGTTAGGATCGTTTGGAATAAGAATTGTCTATCTGATTCACATCTTATAACCGAATGCCAAAACTATCTTTTCATGTCATATTACCTGTTTTAAAATACGTATATTTTAAATTTCAAAGAATACATATCTCAATGCATTCAACCATGAACCTAAATTTACAAATTTGAGCCTTTAATGACATTGGAGACATTAATGAAAGATTATGTCAGATATTTATGTAGATTTAGCTGAGTTTGGAGAAGAACGGTACAAATATTCAGAATGGAAAAATTAAAAAGGGAAGAATTCTAAAAATAATGGATGTGAAAAATAACATTCAACTGATTGCAGGAAAAATATTACTCTGATTTGGTTATGTGTAAAGGATGTCTCTTGAAAGATTACCAAAGATAACAATGGAATCAGAAATAAAAGGAAGAAGGAAATCGGAAAGATGAAGTGTAGGAGAAAGCGTAGTATGATATATCAGAAAAAAACAACAACTAAATGATGATTAATGAACTAAGTAGATGGGAATGAAAAAAACAGTGGTATTTTATTTAGCTGAAGTAAAACTGTGTTAATGAAAAATTCCATTATGAAATATATTTTTATATAACAAATAACGTGTTATTTCTATACGAAAATGGTTATAGAAATTATTTATCTACAAATAAAATTGCACAAGCTTATAATAGTATAAACATAAACATAAATCGTAAAGTGTGGTTAATACTTTTTTATCAGTAAGAAAAACTGTCATCATTTAGGGAGTTATAGTTGATAAATTACAGATTTATATGAATAATTATTGTGATAATTTACCATACTGCACCATTTTAATATTACTAGTTTTCATAATGAAATAGTTTATTTTCACTAAATTCGTTTTATTATATTAGTGCGTTATTGGATTCGAATATTCAATCTATTATCTCGATATTCAAGAAAAAAAGACCTCATTTTCATAGATGAAAGCACGAAGAGAGAATTAACATAGAGAAGAAAGATTGCTTATAAAAAATCTTTCGAACCTATTAGAAATTGAAAGGTTTTATAATTTTTTTTTTAATTCACGTGCCTGCCTTGTGACGAACACCCGTAGTTGTACTCAAGTAGAACAGTACTCTTGCCCGTATTAAATATTTAAAGTAATTTCTCGGCCTTTGTAAAGGCTTCTTTTGGATGAAGAAAAGCATCTTTGACTGATAATAGGATTTCTTTGCTACTTATTCTAATAACTATCAGAAAAAAATGTTGAGGTAATACCTTCTGCATTTTCCTTTGTTTTCCTTAGTTCGTCTTCCAAGGATTGTAGTTGCCTTTGGGCGCTTTCTGCTCTTTTTCTTTCTTTTTCAGATACCTTTTTGAACTCGTCCAGCGTCGCCTCCCTTTCCATTTGGGCATGGGTAAGAGCTGTCAAGAGTTCAGTCATTGATAAATTCTTGTTTTGCGATTTCATGTTGATTTTGTTCATCTGTTGGTTTAAAAATATTGAGAAATGCTAAATGATATTTGATTATAAAATAAATAATAAAATAAAATAAAGTTTCGGATAGTAACTAAAAGGAGTTTTGAAAGTATTCGGAATAATTAACCATGTAAGTATAAAAAAAAAGAAAAGAAAGTGCGTTGAATTAGTAAAGTACAGGGCTGAAGAGCACGAAATTTGAGATTATTAAATGTCAAATGTGTTCAGAAATGCGTCAGTAGAATATATCCTGTTGTTTATTAATATGAATGAGAAATGATTAATTAAATATACATAAATTATAAATTTCCAAAATATACAGAACATTTATACGGCATGATTATTCGTCTGCCGGAAATTTTATATGTTTTACAGGTATAGTAGAAATGAAGACTTTATAACAATTACATATACATGAATAACTGATAAATAATAAAACAGCTAATACAATATAAAATAATAAATATTTTGAATAATTTAAGCCTAAGAAATAATAATAAGGAAAATAAGGGAAGTCATAAACAATAACATGAATAAAACTGACCACAAATAAATTAGACGGATCATTGTTTATGCTGAATGTAGCAAATTAAAACGGTGTATCCACGCATTTTGAGCAAACCGACAATTCTACGACATTCGTTCACTGAGGGAGCATTTAGAAAATAAATTAGGATAGCATATCGAACCGGGCTAGTTCCAAGAAATTCGATACGAATTTGACTAAGCATTCAACATTCAGCCAAAAAATGGAACAGGTCCTCCTTTACTGGAAGGTTACAGAGTGGACAATTTCCTGTCAAGCCATGGGGTATAATAATAATTCAAATAATGATGTAGAGATCGTTGACCGTTGATATGATATGAGAAGGAGTTAGTCGAGGGTGCGGTCAAATAAATAAAAAATTAAAATGTATTAATTATTTTAATTTTTGCCGACGTTTCGACCCACTTTGCAGGTCGTCTTCAGGGCATAGGATGTGGCACTGCGGGAGGCAGTTGAAACACTGGCAGTGAAAAATATACAGAACTGCCACTGCCAGTGAAAAATATACCACTGCCAGTGTTTCAACTGCCTCCCGCAGTGCCACATCCTACGCCCTGAAGACGACCTGCAAAGTGGGTCGAAACGTCGGCAAAAATTAAAATAATTAATATATTTTAATTTTTTATTTATTTGACCGCACCCTCGACTAACTCCTTCTCATAAATAATTCAAATAAAGGAGTTGACGCTTGAACTTGAACAACCAACTCAACTCGCGGCCAATCAAATCCCAACAGACCTATAAGTATGAAAACATCAGAAAGACGAACGTAATTATTATTCAGTTCTTAGAATTTTTGCATTAGCAGATGACACATATTTTGTTTTCATATCGTTTTAGGTTTTTTTGTTTAGTTCTTATCTTGTCTTTCCTCAGCCTTGATGAAGACATGAACCTAGGCCGAAACGTCATGACAAAGTAAAAAACATTCTTATTTACGTTTCTCACTGAAACTGTAATCCTCAACTAACTTTCCAATCATATCTACTATCAATTATTTCTTCACCATTAATATTATTTTACTTCTTTGTTAATTTCGTCGTTGTTTTGTTTTTTGTTAAAAGGTATTCATCAATTGGTACATATCAACAATTGGCTTATAAAACTGATAAATAAATAAAAAGGTACAAAGAAATCAAAACTAAGAATTTTAGTAGATTCAAAATACTTTTGAGACACGTTGTCAGTCTATATATTTTATTAACAAATTTTCAATTTATCATGCTGATGACTAGTATAATAGAATTGATTTCCGAGCGGTCAATCAAAACCATACAGTCTGATCTTATCAACTTTCAATTATATGGCTCTGAGTGAAACGAGTTGTTTTTTTCAGGTATTTTGATTTAAGTTGACTTTTTCCCATTGTTTATCGGCATAGAGTTATTGGGTGGCACCTTATCGAAAATCAATAACTGATACCAATTTTTATTTCTGAATGTTATTTTCCTTTCTCACAACCGCAGGTAGGGAGGAAAACTTTTTATTCGTTTAGATAATTAAAAAATATTTGAGCTCAGAATCGAAAATTTCCTTCAGACCTTTTACGCACCATACAATACTTTCTATTTCATCCAATTCATCCACTAATTTCGGTTAGTCACGAGTAAATGTGTTCTCTTTGATAAACCTACATTTTAAAAACAGTTTGTTTGATTTGGAGAAGTTAGAAATTGGTGAAATCATGGACTTGACATCAATTTTAGATAACATATTTTCCTTGATACACTCATTTTTATAAAGGCTCATTCGATTTGATCCAAAATAGATTACAAATGTTCTAGTGTTAATTACATCTAAATTCATTAAACAATTAAAACTCATAGCTGCGAAAAATGGAAACAGTGAACATTGTAGAGGGAGGTTATATTTATTCAATAGTTATTTATAAGAATTTAATATATTTAAATCATAATTAAAATCATCGACCTTGAAGCAAAAGGTAATTGTGTAAGTAAAAGAAATAGGTAGGAAGCTATAGTGACCCTACTTGGCAGATTTTGTTCTATTTACTTACTTTTGCATCAAATCATTGAATTTTTGTCGGCTCTTTTCTACTTTAAACACACCAGTGAATTTTTTTACAGTTATGGATAGTCGCTTAATGTTACGGAATTCACAATTGATACTACAAACATGTTTTATTTAACGTATGAATCTTCTTCTTGTTCTAATTCATTTGGAGAAAAGGGTATCAAAATGAGGATTATTTTGGAAGAAATTTGAGTTCTATTATAAATGTTATACCTTTAGAAAATTGTATAAATAATATATTTATTATTATTATTATTATGTATTATTCGTTAGATCAGAGGACGGGATGTCCTAGCACGTTTAGGCGTGGCTCCCAGAGTACACGATTCATAACGTTGTGGGTTCATTTTCCACTTGGATTGGTTAATTTTTTTTTTTATCGACAGCTCCAGAAAATGAATCTTGACATTCCCACTCTGGTAAGTACGCGGCGGCAATTTAAAGGTAGCAGTCAGGGTTTGACAAAAAGGAACGACCACGACAGAGCCCACTTGCCGACTAGTTTCCCCACCAGAAGTAGTACCAGTACCAGTATATGTTAGATGGCATTTTACAAATTCGCATTCATAACGTCTGTGGGCCTGTTGGTGGCTGATATTTAACGTTGAGGAATATCCTAAAATATATCGTTCAACTCGACAATTAAGTTGATCGCCAGTAGCAACTTTACAAAACTTGGAATTATTCAAAACTTGTATCAGACATTTCATTGGTATAAATATCGTATGCGAAAAATAAAATTAATTTACATAGTTGGGTCAATTTCGGGACAAACTTGCTTTTTGTAAATGTGCTCTATCCTACAAAGACTATCTTGTATCTTGTAAGACCCCTGATCTAAGATAGAAGGAGGATAAGGTTGTAGAAAGACACGTGCTTAAGTATGTGTTAGATGTCTTGGATTGTTGTACTGTCTCCAGTCGATACATGTTATTTGGACTCTTGGAGTGAGATGGACTCCGTTCGGTATACATAAATGCAGTATTGTTTTTTGTTTTTTTTGTAATGATGATACAATAATTGTCGGAACAGTGGATTAATTATTTACGTGTATTTAAGAGACTGTAGGTTTTGTGTTTGAAAACTTCCAATTTTATTTTAACAATTGAATTATGACTCTTGTTGTGTTTTCATATCAACATTTTCGTTCACTTTTATAATTTCCTATTATTTGTTTAGTATAAGTAAGTACCCACTTACCCATCTTTAATTGTAATTTCAAAATTTTTTCATACCAGTATTATCTCCACATAAAACATCTGATAGTTATTTTGATTTCATTATTAAATCATTTGTTGCAGAATATTTAACAGAATACCTTTAAGTAGACGACTACACATCATATTTTTTTTTAATGTGTCTCATTAACAATCACGTCTTAATGTTACCACATGATTTGAAAATAAATTGCTGTAATTTTTTTATTTATCCATCAATTCTTTACTCATGGTAATACGAATTTCGGAAAAAAATATACTTAGCGGCATGCCATCTTTACCTATACGTAAAGTTCATATAAATATTCTAATTACATATTTTATTCTTCAATTCTTTCGTTTTATCCTAATCCTTCTTTCGAACGGGGTTGAAGTGATTAATCATTAACACTTTCTACAATCAATGCGAGAAATCTCCATTGAACGGGTAGTTAATTGCTAATTGAAATCGTTTTATGATAAAATTCAGTCTGGTTTCTGTCAGGAGTTAAGAACTTCATTTTGTCAAACGAGGTACAAGTAATAGTTAATAGTAATAATAACAGGTACTTCAGACGACGTAGTCAGTAGTTTTCATGACATTGCAACACGAGCATAGAGGGTTCCAGCAGTCATTGCGTCATGCAGAAGACAGGAAGTTCCATTTGGCTTCCAAGAGTATTTTATTTTATCCAACGGTGAGGAAATATTTTCTCAAGGTAGTTTTTTTTTCCAGCATTTACTATACTTATAACATTTCACAATTATTTTGATTATAATATTAAATTAATGGAAGGGTGGAGCCCCTGCTGATCCTTCTTCCTTAATGATATACTTTGTCCTTTCTTCTTCATAAGAGGTATCCCTCCCACTAAAACCTTCACCCCATCTTTAGATGCTTGCAACTTAACTGACTTAATGCGACTTAAGTTGCTTGCAGCATAATCATTCTCAAGTTTGTCTCTAATGTACTCTGTTGTTGCGAGAAATATCGTTTCAGCTTTGGGGCGCATAACTCATGGTTATGGCACGTTGTGATTGTGGCACGTTGTGGCTGTCGTTCTGATTGTAAGGGAGGGGGAGTCTCCAGTTAAATGTTGAAATTCTTATCTATGAATTCATTTTCGGATCGCAGTAACTCGTCAAATCTAGGAAGAAATGATAGATTTTGTTTATAATATAAAACAATACAAAAACTAATTATAAACAATACTAAAAATAAAGTATAT